ATTAAATCAATTCCATGGATTCAACGCCGTACAGAGCACTTTATATCCCGCGTGGTAACGAGGCGATGCCTTTACATGACAACATCGAACATGTGTCCTTCATGCTGTGCAGGGCAGCTCTTCGCTTTGTGTCCTACCTCTTTGCAAACATAACAAGCCAACGGAGCTTTCACCTTTGGCTTCTTGGCTGGCTTGCTTGTCTGCTCGGAAAAAGACACGTTCGCGGTACCGTTGGTGGGAGGTAGAATGGAGGGTTGATCAATTAAAGTAGGGACGTTATTGACACCTTGGCCCTCCGGAGGCGCTGGACGTAAAGCTTTCTTCTTTGGCGCTTTGATTGGTTTAGCAGGCTTTTGAGGAGCCGCGGCGTCCATGGAAGGTGCAGTGGCCTCCGGAGGTACAGCAGTGGTGTCGTTTGCGACCTTTTTTGCTTTCGGTTTACGAGGTACTGGAAGCTTAACCACAACCTTTGCGGGTGCAGGTGTTGGTGGCGGCGGTTTACTAGTCACCTCAATCTTGGGCGCAGGCCCTGTACTAGCGTGATATTGGGTTTTATTATCGGCGGTGGTTTCGACAGGCTTCATGGGACAGTCGCGGGCGAAATGGCCTTGCTCGTTACAGGTGTAGCAGGTGGCTGGTGGACGAGTCGCCTTCTTCTTGGTCTTCCTGGAAATTGCTGAATCGGTGGCGACCGAGGGCTCCACGGGCGGCGTGTTCGTTGACGAGGGTTCCAACACCTGCTCTACGTTCTCGTACCCGTTCGCATTGCCTGCTTCTGCGAAGGATTCGGCTTGTTGTTCTGCAGCAGCCTTTGCGTCACGCTCTGCCATTTCCCTGTTGAGACGCTCGACCGTCTCCTTGGTGACACGTTCTATAGTCTCCCTAGTAACACGTTCCACTGTCTCTCTGGCCACGCGCTCTAACATTTCCCTGGCCTCGCGTTCTGCCGTCTCTTTTGCTTCCAGTTCGGCGCGAAAGTTGGCCTCCTGTGCTGCGAGTACCTCGGCCTCTCGTTCTTTGGCTTCACGTTCCGCACGCTCTTGAGCCTCCTGTGCTGCACGCACCTGGGCTTCGTGTGCTGCGGATTCTTCAGCTTCCCGTATCTCACGCTCCTTCGCCTCGAGCGCAGCAAGCTCCCTTGCCTCACGCTTGGTCTTCGCTTTCGATTCTTTTTCAGCCTTTTGTTTTGCTTCTTGCTCGGCAACCTCTTGGACTTTCTGGGCGTCTTGTTCGGAAGCGTTCAGTTCTTGGACTTCGTGACCATCTGCTATTTTCTCTTCAGCAACCTTCTTCTGTGCTGCCTTCTCAAGAGCGGCCCTCTCTTTCGTGGCCTTCTTCCGAGCAGCCTTCTTCTCCCTAGCTTCCCGCTCACGAGCCTCCTTCTTCTTTTCGGCTACTAGACGGGCAGCTTCTTGCGCAGCTGCGAGTTCTCGTGCAGCTTTGGCCGCTTCAGCCTTTTCTTTCGCCGCCTTTTCTTGCGCAGCCTTCTCTTCAGCTTCTCGTGCGAGCTTGGCTTGTGCTTCACGCTCTGCTTTTCGTCGTGACGCCTCGGCTTTGCGCTCCTGTTTCTGTCGCTGGGCTTCTTCCTTACGCGCAAGCTCTTCCGCTGCCTGCTTTGCGGCCTCCTCTTCCGCGTTGTGTGGTTGCTCTGCCTCATCTCCATTGGTTTGCTCCTCGTCCTGGTCTCGCTCGACCGAGTCGGATCCTTCCGGATCAGAGTGGCGTTTAGTCGTCTGAGGCTTCTTTCCGCCCTTGCCTTTCTTTCCCTTCCCCTTCTTTGGCGCCACGCCAGTGCCGTGAAAATTGAACGGGTGAATTGGGGATGACGCTTCGATCTTCTTCTTGCAACCTCGACAGGCAACAGCTCCACCACTTGGACAGCGATAACTGTATTCCTGTACGTGAGCGGCGCAAAACAGGCAAGTTTGTCTCCCCTTCTTCCGTTCCCACCCTAGATCCATAATGGAGTCGTCGTCGGGACGTAACCCAGCCTTCCGGAGTTCAGAATCATAATCGCGTTGCAAGCTGATGACCCATAATTGCGCCATGGCGCGCTTCTTTTCTGGGTCGACGATACGTATACCATCACCCTCTGCTTGTCGAGCCGCAGCCGCCTTCTTCAGTCGCTCGATACATTGCTTATTGATGTCTTCGATTGCCGATTTCCTGGCCCTCTCTTCAGCGTTACGTCTAGCCGCAGCTTCGAAGTTCTCGCGCCGTCGGAGCAATTCTGCCAAGAGGATTTCCTCCGGGTCGTAGCTGTCAAAGCCATCAAAGCCACCACCGAAGCGGCCACCTCCAAAGCTAGGGCCATAGCCGCCAGAGTAGTATTCGTAATCGCTGTCGTCGTCGTACTCGTACTCGTATTCGTCCTCGTAGAAAGCCTCTGCCTCTGCCCACGCCTGCTCCTGCGCCGCCCTTCGCATGGCCGCCGCACGGCGATCCGATTCGGCCTGAGCACGAATCCTCTCTGCGGATTGCTTCTGCCGCCATGCATTCGGGTTCCGCATGTATTCGGCATGTTCCCTCCTGTAGGTGTCCCATTGTGTCCGTATACTGCTATAAGACTGATCGTAGCGCGCTTTGCCTTTCGGATCCCTCAGGATGTCGTAGGCTTCTTGGATTCGTCGGAAGTCGGCTGCATCGACAGCTTCGCCTGGCGCCTTCTTGTCGGGATGATGGAGGAGAGCGAGGCGGTGGAAGGCGGTCTTGATCTCGGCACTAGAGGCTGCTGGGCTCACTTCGAGGTCCGCGTACGCGTCTGGTAGCTTGGGCTTCGCGGGGCCCTCCATGGTTGAGTTGGAATTGGGATTGTCGTGGCTGTGGGGTGGGTGCGTGGTTCGGAAGAGCCTTTCTCGCGGAAAAGTTGAGCGCGTAGCCCTTTGGAAGTTGAGTACAGGAACGAGTACCTGCAGCCTCACAGCGATTCATTGCTTTGGACGCTCGAAACTTCTAGACAAACGCGTCGTAGCGTGGAGGCAGGGGGCGCACGGATCAAACGCGTTATCAGGTGCTCTTATCTCCGCACTGTCACTAGTGGAGAACCTGTGGATCTGGTCTACCCCACACGCGACTCCCAGATTTGCTTGTAGCACTAAAGCGAATGCATTACTACTTAAAATAGTTTTCTCACCTACTATGAGACGACATAGCGCCCGTAGTGTACCCTCATTCCACAGCCTTGACCTTACGATCACCCTCATCCCCATGCGCGTACGCATAAGCATCAATACTATGTTTTGCAAACGCCCTCGCAGGCAACCCCTCCGCAAACATAATATCCAACTCCTCATACGTCCTGCCCTTCGTCTCCGGAAGACGGAAAAACGTCCAAACAAAAAAGATCAGTGCGCCTCCACCCCAGAAGAAGCCCGTCTTACCCTTCCAATCACCCGCGGTGGGGTTCAGCATATACGGATTGATAACGTTGGTGAGGATCTGCGCGATGTAGTAGCTGATGCGAGCCAGACACACACTCTTGCTGCGAAGACGCGTGGACGAGACTTCTCCGACGATGGCATAGCAGATGGGTCCGACGGTCATGTAGTACCAGAAGAGCCAGATGATCATCATAGCAGCTTGGGCGTAGTTGCCGCCGGACGAGTCGCCGGCGCCTACGCTGATGAATCCGACGATGAAGAGGATGGCTGCTAGACCACCGAGGCCCCAGAGGTAAAGCTTTCGACGCCCGATGTAGCTCATGAGGACCCAGGAGATTAGTGTGCCGACTGATGCCATGCCGAGACCGCCGACGGACATCTTGAAGGAGATTGAGGTTGAGACTCCTGCCTGGACGAAGAAGTACGTGGGTGTGCCGCCCATAACGGAGCCGCAGATGGGTTGGGCTGCGAAGACCATGCACGCGATTTCTGTGCGGCGGCGGTCGATGCCCTTGAAGCATTGAAGGTAGGATGTGTTTTCCTCAAGCGACTTCTCCAGTTCGTTTGTCCGAACCATCATCGCGACCTTTTGCTTAGCCATGTCACGTTGGGAGACAGACCCAAGACGGATGAGCATTTGCTCGGCCAGTTCGAGATTGCCGGTACGAACGTGGTACCATGGGGACTCGGGTGCCATCCAGAGGATTGCAAAGAGTGGGATAGGCCATGCCCATTGGATGGCAAAGGGTATCCGGTATGCCCATTGTGTGTTGTTGCCTGAGAATGCGGATTGTACTCCAGCGGAGATGAGTTGTCCGAATGCCCAGCAAAGGTTGACGTATACAGTGAGGTATCCTCGCAGAGCTAGCGGACACACCTCACTCGCGTAGGCGGGCGCCATGGTAGCGAAAACCCCCCAGGGTATACCGCAGAGGAACTGACCGACGAGGAGGACGGGGGCGTTAGGCGCGAAGAAAGAGATAAAGATCAGCGCGCAGATAGAGGCAAGCGATACCAGCAAGACGGGACGGTAACCGAATCGATGAATAAAGTACCCATTCGCAAATGCGCCGATGATAGTGCCCACGCTCACAGCATTGCTGAGTCCATTCTGCCACGATGCTGTTATCTCATATGTCTGAGTGCGTTGATTGAACTCTCCGTATTTGCGCGAGAAGGACGGCTGCGCGAAGAAGGAGCTCATCAAGACGATGTCGTATCCTTCCATGATGATGCAGGTGGATAGCAATACCGACCAGAGCACAGCTTTGGGGTATTTGCGAATGGCTTGCATCAACGTCATCTCGTGCTCCTCGTCGGCTGCCGCTTTGGCCTGGTCGAAGGTAACCTCATGGTGTTCCATGGTCGCGGCCTTTTCGTCCATATCTGCCATGATGGGTCGGATTGGATCAGTGCGTGCACCAGGTATGTAGAAGCAAGAAGAGGACTGCGGACCAAAGAGTCCGGATACAGATCTCAGGGACTGTTGGTTGTGGTGAAGTATGTGGATCTACGGACATGGCCACGGTATATACATAGTCGGTCATCCTGCACCAAGCCGCTCGATCATCCATGCATGGAACATGGCTGCTACCCCAGGTTTTCTCCACCGGAACACAACTACCCCATGGGGTGCATGTCAGGCTTGGCCTGTTCCTGCAAAGGCAACACTCCGGTGGAGATGTTCCTAGGCGCGGCATTTTCCAGGAAGACGCGTGCGGGGCGTGACCACTCTACCGGTAGCGTGGATCCTTCACTAAGGCCCCCGATGGAGAAGCGCCGTGAGGCTCCGGCGTCTATTGTGCCGAAGAATACGAGAACTTGGCCGTTGCCGGTTATGGTACTATCGTGGTCGTGGGCTTGCTGGCATGACCGAGGTATTGTGAGGGCGGGTGACACGCTAAGCGCAAGCTGTAGGGAACCTGTTTCCAGGATCTACTCTTCCGACGAGATGAGATGTAGTGAAAGCTTAAGGTCGGGACGTTGCATGATACAGACTGCATGATATTCATATTATCGCTCGTTCGTAAGAAGTCGAAGCAGGTTTATATAAGACCGTTCGATGCCCCATGTGTGACCCGCGTCTTGCGCAGAAGACTGTGAATTGGCGTCCGGACTTGATGAAATGCCAGAGCTTTTGGCTAAAATCGAGATCCCTTCTTTCGCAATCCGCACCGGAGCTGCTTCATGCTCTAGACTGCCGACATTGGCAATGTATGCGGACATCTTATGCCCCATACGCACATACGTCTGTACTAGCTCATCGTCCAATGGCCGGTCAAGATGGAGGAATGATGGTTCCGGTTCCTCATCTGACTCAGAACCAATGGCTTCAACGGCTTCGGGAAGATGCATGCAGACGCAGAAGGCCCAAAGTATGAGTGTCGCAATGTAAATCGCATATGGCTCGAACAGGCTGCGACAACTGTACCTGCGGACGTGCCAGAAAAGGGCCCCACAGTGCACCAGACACAGTCTAGCTTTGCAGTGATCTCGAATCACCCATTGTAGGACCTGAATTCGCGCCGTCGCGAAGGACTGTCCGTCTTCCGCATCGACTAGCGCGGCTTCGTTGGATGCAGATACCGATACGAACCGCTGTATGGCGCTAGTGGGTGCAAGTATGATCAGGCGAGCTAGATGCAGCTGGAGGATAGTGTGGTGCTCGAAGCCCGAGTGGCGTGCGACCTTACTATTCGCAGGCCAATGCAGGACATCCAAGCTGTCACAGGCGCTGTTACGCCACTTGATGGAAGACCGCGTTGTCGGCGACCAGTCTTGTTGTATGGGTGGTGGCATATCGCTACGTCGCTGTGGCGTAGATGTTGGTGTCCATGAGTTAAGACGAATGCGATCTCGGGCCACGACGTCCCGGGTATGGCGATAGATGGCACTGACAAGTAAGCCCATGCTGAACTCTCCTAGATCCACGGGTAGCCGCTTTTCCACGTAGATCATCTCTAGTGCTTCTATAAAGGTAACACTTGTGAGACGTCTTTGGTTCTGTCGAATTAGGCCTGGTTGGTCCCATACCTCCTCGTGACATGGCAACAATACGTCAATATCGTCGAACTGAATGAGGGGCTTAGCCTGGAACTGATACACGAATATCGTATCGAGTGTCTGTTGCAATTAGCTACGCGTCCTTCGATAACAATAAGAACAAATTACCCAAACCATCATCCCAGTACGAACCATTGCCTCTCTCGACAGCCATTCACGAAAGTCGGGGTTTTGCTCAGGATCAGCCGTCCTTGTCAGATCGTAAGACTTCTTCGTCTGAACAAGTAGACGGAGTGTGTGGCAGCCCTCTACTAGGTAGTATCGCTCTACATGGGCACGTTCTACCAGAGCTTTCTTACCCGAATGCAGCATGTAAGCGATATTCAGGATGCCAGCCTGTAGAATCCGGACATCTGGGTGAGCAACGAACCGGGAACAGCTCGGGCTGTAATCGACGTCCTCGTTACCTGCCGAACCTTGTGGGTCTAGTCCATACTTGCTCCGGGTGAGAATGGTACTCAGCAGACCAAATAGGGATTCGCTTGTTAGGGAATGCTGCAATAGCCGTGAGTACTTTGAGCCGATAACAGAGACGGCGATTAGCAAGAGCCAGCTCTTGGAAGCATCTTGGGCGAAGGAAGACCGCCGCAGGAAGGGGAATACTGGGTGGAAATGGTCAAAGTACTGGCGAACAGAGATTACGACTTGCTCATACGTGGGAAAGTTCGAAGCGCTCAAATCGACTGGGCTATCGCGGCTTTCAGCAGCAATGCCTTCCAGCAGAGATTGATAGGCTGCTGGTGGACACAATTTGTCTTCGTCAGAGGTATCAAGCGATGCAGAAGCATCGTTAGCTTCCGCATCTTGCAAGTCGATGGTTTCTTCTGAGCAAACCGAGTGTTGCGATCTGCCACCGAACGGGGCTCTGGCACCTGCCCCATCAACGTAGTATCTGTTTTCCGACGTCGATGTAGATAATACGGAGGCAGTATCCTTTGACTGCTGGTCTGTATCAGATATCATCCTATTTGGATCTGATGAATGTGATGTTTTGGTGATCGCAGGTATTGAGGGTGTTGTTGGCGCGATGGAACAAGTCCATTGCTCCACGGTGCCATTAGCTTGTCCTCCGAAGTTTGCGAGTAGTGCATCCAGGTCAATGGGGCCTGAGTATTGGGGCGATAACCAGTTCACGTCTGACAGACTCAAACCAGGCATGTCGAATGAGTCAGAAGCGAGCAAGTTGTTGTCGACGTTGCTATTCCACGCCCATGCATTGACAGAGGACTGTCCTATTGCATCGTTGAAGTCCGCTGTTCTGAACTCGCCATTGCTGTCTCGATTGACATTGTTCGGATGCAGATCCCCAGTACTGAATGGGTCTGTGGATTCATTCGCGCCAGAATCCGCCGTTCTGCCTCGCGCACTGCGGAGTGCCGGGTACTGGCAGCTATAGCCACGTTGCAAGCACCTGGAACATTTTGGACCGCGCGAACATTTGACGCGATCTGAAGCGCATCGAAAGCACGCGCGTGATGCGGGAAGCTGAGTCGTAATGTCGCTGTGGTCATTGTGCGCTGCGATGTGACGGGTGAGGACATCACGGCGTGAGAAGGACTTGTGGCAGGAAGGGCAGGGGTACGGCCGTTCGCGAGTGTGGATCCTCATATGACGTACGAGATGCTCTTGCTTCCCGAAACCGCGACCGCATATTGAACATACTGCATTAAACCGCTCCTGCGCTCCGGGGGAGGTCATCGCCGGAAAAGTAGGAGCAGGTATTGTGCGGAGAGAGCGTCAATATATGCCCAGGCAGCTCGAACTCGAGGTTAAACAAAGGACAGGGCATCCCAGTCATCATGGTCACCCAGCCAAGATGCATGCGGGGGCAGGAGCGATCCATGGATGGGATCTAGTGGCAGGTGGAGGCTGGCGTGGCTCATAACTGGGAAGTAATCACGGGCTTGGAAGGGTGGGGCTCGCACGGGCTGCAAACATCAAGGTCACCTTCGGTATGGAAACGATTACTCAACGAAGAAGAGAATGCGTGTTGGAGTCAAGTAAGCCCTAATAGAGGAATAGATTGTTCATTTAGAGTCTGTCGACATCATCCTATGCGCGCTCGAACACCGGCATAACCTCCAACGGACTATCAACCTCAACATCCTTCCCACCATCCCACGTCTCCCCACCCCAAAAGCTCTTCCACTTCTTACCACCCTCCAGTGGCGGAAGATAAACCTTCGTCTTCGTCTGGCCCTTTGCCAGCACCGGACAAATCAAATACTTATCTCCGTACATATACTGCTCTTCCACCTCCCAAGACCTGCTATCCTGCGGGAACTCATAGAACAGCGCCCTCATAACCGGCGAGCCCTTCTGATGCGCCTCCTCCATAAGCTTCCTCGTGTACTCACGTAGATCCTCGCGGATGCCCATGTACTTCTTGCAAATCTCGTAGACAGCGGGGCCGTACGACCAGACTTCGTTGTCTGCGCCGCTGCGGCAGGATGGGCTGTCTGCGGTCTTGGCTTGGCGTGGCTCGCGGTCGCCGTGTAGGCGCATGACAGGGCAAAAGGTGCCCCATTGGAACCAGCGGACGAAGAGTTCGCGGAACGCTTCGTCGTCGGGATTGCCGCCGTGGAAACCTCCTATGTCGGTTGTCCACCAGGGCAGACCCGAGAGACCCATGTTGAGGCCTGCGGCGAGTTGGTTACGGAATGTGCCCCAGGAGGAGGAGATGTCGCCGCTCCATACGAGGGCGCCATAGCGTTGGCTGCCGGCCCATGCGCAGCGGACGAGGTTGACGATGTTCTTTTGGCCTTCTGCCTCCATGCCTTCGTAGAATGCGCGCGAGTATTCTCGGGGATAGATGTTGCCGATTTGTACGTTGGGGCCGAGGTGGTAGCGGTAGTTGTCGAAGTCGTAGTGTCGGTACTCTGGCTCTGCTTCATCCAGCCAGAATACTTTGATGCCTTTCTTGTAGTAGTTCTGCTTCGCTTTGTTCCACACGTAGTCCCGCGCAGCAGGGTTCGTTGAATCAAAATGAATCGTTTGGCCTTGGAACGTCATGGCCGTTCGTACACCACGCTCAGTCCGGATGAGCAGACCCTTCTCGACCATTTCCTCGTAGTTTTCTGATCGACGGTCTACAGTTGGCCAGATGGATATCATGAGCTCGATCTTTAGCTTTTCAAGTTCTTTGACCATGGCATCGGGATCGGGCCAATACTTTGGATCGAACTTCCAGTCTCCTTGCATGGTCCAGTGGAAGAAGTCGATGACGATGAGATCAATAGGGAGATTCCGTTTCCGATACTCGCGTGCGACTTGAAGAAGTTCTTCTTGGGTCTGGTAGCGCAGCTTGCATTGCCAGAAGCCTAGACCGTATTCTGGCATCATTGGTACCTGAAATAGCATGTCTTTAGCTTCTTACTCACCTCATGGCATGAACATTGGGACTTACCTTCCCAGTGGCATCGGCATACGACTCGACAATCTGTGCTGGTGTGTCGCCAGCTACAACCCAGTAATCCAAGACTTTGGTCGACAGTGCCTCGAAACTCATGATGTTCTTGCCAAACACCACATTGCCAATCGACGGGTTATTCCACAAGAAGCCATACCCAAGCGATGAGACCGCAAAAGGTACGCTAGCCTGGGAGTTCCGGTGCGCAAGTTCCAGTTGTGTGCCTTTGATATCAAGATAAGGTTGCTGGTATTGTCCCATTCCGTAGATCTTCTCTTTGGGATCGAGACTCTCGAAGCGGGCAGTAAGCTTGTAGTCGCCTCCATGAATAGGATAGAATTCCCGGGCTTCGACTTCCAGCGCGCTGCATTTTGGGTCGACGATGTCGCGGCGGTTACGAGCGTATTCTTCCAAGAGAACTTTACCGCTGGTGTTTGAGATGGTGATCTTGCCGCGCTTGCTGATGGTGGCTTTGACGAGCCCATTGGTTAGGGTTGCTGACTCGTCGTTGCTGGCAATGTCGATGTTGGCAGCGATCTTGGGTTGTGGAAGGAGCGCCCAGTCTTCCTCTGGCATGGTAGGCATCTTGGTGGAACGAACGCGGACTGCGTTCTTGCCCCAGGGCTCGATCCATAGTTGCTCGGCATCGTATGTGAAGACAAGGCGGTTATCCTTCGATGCGAACATGATGTAGTTATCGGAGTAGCCGTGCAAAGCTTACGGATACGTGTAGCTGCCCCAGACATGGAGGGGCATAGACACGTCTTTTACATTGTAGCAGCTCCACGTACGCTTACCGATGCTGCGGGTACTCGCGATTGGGAAACCCGCTGTTTGCATTTCCCCGGTGGCACGTTTCGTGAGTGAAGTCATACAACCTCCCAAGTGTGTGGAGAGGGGCTTCTCCATCGGAGTCTCCACCGGGATACGCGCCGCGTGCTAGTCCTGGACACGTCGATCTGGCGGGGTTGGCCTTGGCATGGAGAACGCCTCATTAATGAACAACGGCATGTGCATGGATTCCTACACTATGCCGATGGCTCCACCTATCGTACTGAATCGTAGTCAGACTTTACTTCCGCCAATAGGTCTGGACAAACTCGTGTGCCCAGTCAATGACCCCGGCCTTCCAATCACCCAATGATTCCTCGACGAGCCCTTCCCATTCTCTCGCTGCCTCGTCTTCACCCTTGGCACCACCAACACCCTTTCCTAGCCACATACGCTCTTGAACCTTTCTTACGCTACCTTCCCTCTCTACCTTGATATCTGGGATGTTGGCTCCCTGCATGAGAGCAAAAAGGTTGAGTATGAGGTTCGAGGACTTGCGCAAGGTAGACCATGCTGTGTAGGAGTACTCTTTGAAGACAAGATAGTTTGGGTGCTGCACTCCGCCCATGCCTTCAATCATCTCGCGACAAAGCTTCATAGCTGGTGCGAAAGGCTTCGGGTCTCTTCCCAGAATGTATCCAAAGTCTACGTGGAAGAAGGCACCCGATGGGGCAAGCAGGAGGTTGTCGAGATGGCGATCGCCAACACCTAGAAGGTAGGTTATTACACAGTAGCCAGCGCAGGACTTGATGTAAGTGTCCATTGCCTCCTTCCGAACGCCGAGTGGTGCGCTATCGTCAGGGTTATTAGCGCGCAGGTAGGCCAGTAGGGAGCCCTTGTGCTTCTGGCACGCTGCTGCAATGCTCATCGAAGGCACGAATTGGAAGGCGCCAGCGGAGGTGGAAGTAGCGAGAATACGGTAGGGTGTTAGCTTGAGATCCAGATTCTCTTTGCGAAGAAGTCGATCCATCAATGTGATGATTTGAATGACAAGTTGATCCTGCCGTAGGTCATCGCCGGTCTTGAATATGATTGGATATGGATTCGACGTTGTGGTTTTGAAGGAGAGCACCATAGGTAGCAACGATGATTTTAGAACATTGCAGTCCTCCGTTGATATCCCGGTGATGTACACAGATGGATCGAGGGGCAGAGGAAGTGGGTCGAAATTGGTGAGTTCGTTCTTCGGGTCAGCAATCGCCTTCTTGAGACGGGCAAGCTTGGTAGGCCGATCCCCTCCACCGAAGCGCACATCTTTCGATATTTTGGCCAAGATGGTGAGCAGCTCGCCCTGACGCTGGAAGGTCTTGCGGGTTTCGACACCCTCAGACGTCTTCTCCAACTCGACCATAAAATCGTATTCGACCTTGGCAAAGAGTTCACGATGCTCTGGCTCCTGATCGGTGCTGAAGTCGCTAATCTCCACCATGAGGTACCAATGTAGGAAGTTGCCCAATGTGAAGCTGTTGGCTGCACGAGTGACCAGGAAACGTGCTAGTGACGAGTCGTCACCTTCGCCTGGTGCCTCATACTTGAGTGCCTGCACCAATTGTAATAGGTAGAGCTGGAGCTCTTCGTCGTCGGCCTTCTTCAACCGCTCGACAGCGTAGCTTCGTACTACGGGGTGGTCGAAGTGGGGTCCAAGAAGTTCAAGCGCGTCGTCTACATCTATTTCTGCCCACTTGTCGAGCAAGGGTGCAGCTTGCCGGGCTTCTCGTGGGTTCTTCCAGTTAACGCACTTGACAAACTTGGTCAAGGCCCGCTTGTCACGTAGCAAGAAGTATCGGAACTTCCAGAGATCGTCTCGCTCGTGTGATGTGATTTCCTCGAGCGGTCCCTTAGAGAGCAGTAGATTGAGCTTGTCTCGAACGTGTACGTTGGGCTTACGGTCGCGGTCGAGTGAATCGGTCTGCTGGCTGCGCATCAACTCGCGATGCTTGTCTTCGGCAGGGTTCACCCGTCGGCCGACTTCAGGGTCGTAGATCTTGATGAGCCGTCCTGCATCTGCATCGCCGTATCCAATACCGTCGATGTCGATACCTGGTCCAAATGACACTTCGGGTGGAGGACGCAGCCTCACATCGGCTTCGGCTGGCAATCGCAAGTCTGATACGGGGGGCGGTGGGTATTCGACGTCGGAGAAGACGATGGCGTGGTCGAAGCGGGGCAATTCGATGTCGAGATAGAAGAGCTCCTGGTCTTCGCCGTCTGCAGAGCCGTTCGTCCCATTCGTCTTGGCCTGGCGGTTCAAAGCCGCAGCCTCGGCCTTGAGCGCCTCTTTCCGTATTTGCATCATCTTCTTGTATACCAGTCCGTCGAGCCAGTTGTTGGTCGGCAGATCGCCCATCTCCTGCTTCTTCAGCAAGCCTTCTAGTCTCTCCATCTCAGCGACCTGCTCATCCACGGTATCTTCAACGACCTGCGCCTTTCTACTTTTACGTGCCGGTGGTATTACCCACGGCGTTGTAGTGTTGGTCAAGCCATCTGCTGCCTTGAAGCGGTGTATCCGACAGCGTTGCCTGCCCTTGTGGAGCGTGTTGTCGTTGTCGAAGAGAGGTATGGTTGTGCCACCAAAGGGCACGGCATGGAGACTCGAGTCGGTGTCTTCGGCGGGCGATAGGTCCCATATCGTGATGGCTATCTGGGCGGAGGCGGGGAGGTTCGCATACGTCACGGGTAGCTGGAGCCATTCGTTCCAGATGCGCGCGTTCTTGAAGGACTTGTAGGCGGTTTGGACGGGCACGGTGAGGGGCTTGCTATCTGCCCATATCTGCGCGGTAACATACAGCTCGAAGTTTGGGCTAGGCTCGTGTCAGTAATCACCCTCCTCTCTCACCAGGTGCGAGGCGACCCACTTGATGTTCGAAGCTCGGTGCCTAAGGTCCGGCCTCTTCAACAACACCGAGTACGGGATGGGCTTCTGGTTCCCATCAAGACGATCTCTGCATTACTCAGCACGACTTCAGTAATACTACAGCGAGGATGCCTACATTCTAACATGGACCGCCAACTCGGTCAGGTCGAGAGACGTCGCAAAGTTGAAGGCTTCCATCGTGCGCGGTGGGGAAGCTGGATGCTACGGCATGCCATGGGTGTGAGGCATGTGCAAGTCTTATCGCCTACCAGCACATGACAGGTTTCGAGGTGGCTAGCGGGAACGCCCGTTCATCGCATCGTCGGGCGGGGTGAAGGAGAGACACTTGCACTGCGCACTGGATGAAGCCATGCGGGTCAGAAGCTCCACAAGCCGACGCGCATGCAGGGGTTCGCGAATGGAAAGAGCCCTTTCGCGTGCTGCACGGCTTGGCTGACGAGCGCGGTCGCACTTGCCTCTAGCAAGTCGCGCTAGCCTCTGCACATTCGGCAACCGCGTCCCAGGCACAGGACATCGCCCGCATCACCACCACCATTGCCCTGCCATACCCCTCCAACACGCCCCTAGTCCCTTTCACTTTCACGACGCGGCATGGCGCGTCTCAACACACACCTCTCGGCTACCCCCCAGACACGCGCTTCCACCGTCGACTCTCTTTATCGCGACCCCTCTGTGGCGCCCCGGAACGATAGCAATGCGCGCACCACGTCTTATTCCGTTCTGAGCCCAACGCGCTCAATGAACTCGGACAAAGAAAATGAGCAACCTGAGACACGCGCAAACACGCCGCGACGAGGCAAGGCTGGCGGCATGCGCAGCGCGTCGGTGCGTATGCCGACCCCCGACTCGGGCTCAACAACTGGCAACGGCAGTAAGAGGAGGAGAACGGATAATTACGCAATGGCTCATTCGGAAATTTACGAGGATCGAAACGACGAGCACGAGGAGGAGGAGGAAGAGGACATGCACGAAGTGGAAACGCCCTCGCAGCCCCCACCCGAGTCAGATGAGGAAGGCGACCAGAAGTACTACAACCCAAACCAGAACCCCGAGCAGCGAAGGAGACTGCGAGCAAATATGCGCGATAACCATCGTATGCTGGAAGGTGAGTCGAGCATCTTGGTCCACGTCGCATGAATATCACTGACCACAGCAGATAATCGCGATGACTATGTTAAATCACGCGACAGCGGACTGCTTGATGCTATCAAGACACAAAACAGCTTGTTTGGCAAGGTGCGACAAACGGCCGACGCTACCGTTGACTCCCGCTTCCTCGTCAGCGCCAGCGACCTAGCAGGCAAGAAGCTCAACAACAGCTTAGGCGACTCTGGTGTAGGCATCGATCTGGACCAATTCGTTTCAAAATGCATATACTTTATGAAATCCGGCGGTCACATCGCAGGCGAGGAAGACGCACCCGCACTAGCCGTAGGCGATGACGACGAGGAAGATCCAGATGGGCTCGACTGGGCATTACTAGGTCGGCGAGCATGCTTCCCGCGCAACAGGCGACCGCCAACATCAAGTTTTCTGCTCGGCCCACTCTCAGTTCAGAGGCGCGTTCGTGTAACTCAAAAGAAAGCTCGATCGCAACGGCAACCTCTTGGTCCAGCAACTCGACCCCAGGAGATCCAGACCGGGGACATTCAGCAAAATGAGAGCAACAACTTGACGACGTTGGTGAGAGGTATCAGGTCACGCTTGGCACAGCATATCACAGTTTCCCAAACGTTGGTTGAAGAAGAGCTCGGTGCAGAAGATGAGGTGACTGAGGAAGCTCAAACCGCTGCTCTTGTACGCCACAGGATCGCTATGACCAACGACCAGGAAGCCGCAGTTAGTCTGCTTGATTTCGCAATAAACCCTCACGACTTTGGGCAGACGGTTGAGAACCTTTTCTATATCAGTTTCCTGGTAAAGGAAGGAAATGCCAAGATAGTCAAAGACGCACATGGACTTCCGCTACTTTGTAAGTCTGCGAGTTTAATGGAGTCGTACACATACTAACTACTACCAGTACCTGCAGCACCCAGTGGCGTTTCAGAACACCGAGAGAGAGACGTACAAAAACACCAGGCCGTGTTCAGCCTCGACTTCCCCTCTTGGCGGATGTTCATCGAAGCATATGATATCACAACACCGCTGATACCTCAACGCCAAGTAGAAGAGGCAACAGTTGGCGCCAACGGCTGGTACAACGGCTGAGCTGTCGTTGCCCAGTTCTCCTGGCATCCGTTTCGCTTCTACGTTACATTTTCAACCTGCACACTTCCCACGCACTCGCCCAAGAGGGCGACGTCTCGGTGTTTTTCACTGTTCACAACGTGTCTGTACGACACACCTTTCCTAAGCGGCGTTCAATCGAGTCAGACACGATGGACGATGCTGGGCGGTATTTGTACCGTACCTTTTTTTTTGGGTTTCACATCTCCTTTGGCTTTGCCGACATCTCTTTTTACGCTTTAGTTCTAGCACCTGATACCCCAAGATTTTTATTCGGATCTTCTAGAGGCATCTTTACGTAGTCGGAATGCAACCTTCGCGATTTCTAAAGGAAGACCCCGAGAAACTCTGTCGCTGTGTTTACCCGTACAGCCTGATTGACCATGTCATGATAAGTGCGGAGAGGTGGCTCCGAAATCCGGTGGTTTCTTCGGGGGCATGTTACCCCAACCCCATCCATATTGATATGGATCTTCATTCATGCATGCCAATATTCGTCCTCTTGCAGCAATCTTCGTCCTTATTCGGAAGAAACTTACGGCTATAAGATATCTCCATTCTCATACGGTAGATACGGTATTTGCCATTTTCGATTGCTTCCGCGCCCTCCCGGACTCTTGTCTTGGTACTGCGATGGAGTGACGATGTGCTTCCCAGTTACAAGGTGTTGAGTAAGATAATGGCCTTGTGACTGTCAGCTTGTTTCACACCAACTGTATGCAGAATGCAAGTATTGCTACGGCCATGCACTCGGACGAAGACTATCGCTTGAACGCAATCCTGGGGCTCACTGGCTGATCTTTAACATAACCTATCGAAACCGCTATCGTTTCTGTGAATCCCACTACACTGGTGGAAACACATCGCTTGAAGCCATAACAGATGATTACTTATGAACTCAAGAACAGAATGTTAATCTTCATAATCCATAATTGCAAAACTCCTGTGGCGTGCGTAATGGAGATTGCTCGTCGGAGTTAACTCCAGTCGTCCAACCTAGCGGCCCAGTGTCCGAGCAAACATCAGACACAGCCTCGTGAAGCTTTCGCAACCAAAGCAAGGCTTTCGGGTCTACCAAGCAATGCGCAGCGTCCCAAGCTCAAGTAGTCTCTCTGTACGATCCCCAAGTAGGCAGGTGGTGATCGACATGATTAGCAACGATGGTGGTTGGGTATCGATTTTGCAATTTCAAACAGACCCAGCCTCAAGTCAGTCAGCACAGCAGATGAGTAATAGCCTTGGCTTCCCTAGGCCTCTTCGGTAAGTAAGTAGTCAGCAAGCGTCCGTTGAAGACGACTGGAGGGGAGCTTCATTCTTTTGTGACAGGCGGGCTCGGGCCGACATAACGTTTCTAGCGTGCGCACGTCTGGTGGCAGTACTTGTAGCCTAGAGCTTATTTGGCACGCCAAACGTAAATGTTGTTGATGGAAGTTAGGGATAAGGGGGTTCGGGGGGTCTTCTGCTTCGCGGTGGCCTTGGCGAGTGTCCGGACGAATAGATGTCGTGATGCTTGGCGGCCATTTACTCAAAATTCCGAGTGTGCCAGATGTGGCAGGCTGCGGGATGTTCCAGGGCTTTAGCGCTAGCCAACGGTTTCGCTGCCCGGCGATGTCGTTCGATCTTCCTCTGGGTTTCAGCGCCATCCTCTCCGCATGGTTTACGAGGCCCTCGAACAGCGTGATTTCGTAAGCATCGAGTTGGGCGCCTTGTCGAAATTGCAAACGCCTGTTCGGCTGATCATTGCACGTGGTGTGGAACCCTTGGTCAATAGCGCGCCCCTTAGCTGGCCAAGTCTCCAACGTTCTCCAGCCTCATCTTACGAAATTCTCCGCTGCACGCATGCGGTCGTTGTACGTATGCTTGATCGACAAGCTTTTCTTGGTTTCATAGGTTTCGAGTTCTTCGCAGTTGCGGTGAGAAGGATTACGTGGAGCTCGCTTCCCCGGATCTTCGCAGGTATAGCACCGAGGGCGATCGGTATCCGTAAACACCGTCAGGCCATGATCTTGTCGTTCGCATGATCAGCATACTCACATATACGCTTACTAGCCACATATCAAACATAACGATGTTTTAGCCCAGATCTCGGGATTGTTGTTCGCAGACCTTTCCTTGAGGCTCCGAAACGCGTCGATGGACGGCGAATAGCAGTCATCGGTCATTCTCCGGACACGGTGCACTGGCAGCCGTTGAGTGCCGCTGTCACTCATCCTGAATCAGCACGGCAGGTGAAACGCTATGGTACCGCGGATAGGCCGTAGCTTTGTCCATTCTCTTGGGGAATCACGTTGTTGTTTGAGGCCCAACATGAGTCCCCAGGCCACCGGGTTCGTGATAATCGATCAGACCAATCGGCCGATTTCAGGCATCTCCCGGGCTCGCGCACGCTGCTCGAACCGGTACGAGGATCTGCATCTTGCGCACGAAGCGTTGAAGTTATGCCGATGCGTCCTTGCTCGTCTTTGCGCTCGGTGTGATGCGGTGGCTTTGGCGAGCTTCAGATGGAGGAGACAGGAGCTTATACTTTCTTTCCAAGCCTCAACTCTAGATGGGATCGACAGTAGTGCGGTCACACCCGCCAACGCCGAAAAGCGCGAGCCTCGAGATTTGTGGATATAGATCGTAGCGACCGCCACGCTTTCCAGGTTGCCAATCCTTCAGAGTCGTTCCTTCGTTTCCTTGTTCCGTCCGTTCACGATCCACTCGTGTGGTGACTCGTGTCGCTACTCTTTCCTTGTCCTCTCTTGTCATGGAAATCATGATGTCCGAAACATACTCCAACGGGAGGTCTTCTTCCTCGTTGGAAGATCCGCACCCGATGGTGGAGCTGGCTCCACCACTCAACTCTCCTCCGGTCTCAGAACCACACCCTATATACGCACCTATCACTGGAGATGCATCCGGGAAGAGGCCATCCGTGCCTTCAATCATGGGCTACCGCTCTAGGTCATCAACCCCAGGCACATCAGACCCATCGAAGCGCGAATCATACAACCTCGCCGGCAGCACTTTCCTCATCACGAACGATGGAAGAACGCTCAAACTCCCTATGCCATCAAATTCCAAAGCCGATCCTTTGAACTGGGGCAGGTGGAAGACAGCCGGAGCGCTGTTCGCATTAGCTCTCTATTCTATTATCTGTCTCACTGCGGCTCAAGCAGCGTCAGTCATACTCGATAGTATCCAAGCAGATTTCCAGGATGAGGTAAGCTGCATTCTATAGCTACCTGAGACGAATACCGCTCACATACTACATCTAGGACATACCAAATTATCAGATCAAGGCGTTGGTTACAGGCCCGACCATGCTCATGGGCATCGGGTGCTTGATGTGGGTGCCAGTATCAATCGGGTTGGGTCGCCGACCTACGATCTTGATCGCGTCCCTTGTCGAGCTGGGTGCTATTATATGGGCTGGTCAAGCGAAAAGTTTCTGTTCGCTCGTGGCCGCAGTCTGTTTCCTCGGTTTGGCAGAGGGCCTTGCGTTGTCTCTTGTAAGTGGGGTTGCAATCTCCCTATCAATCCATCTACTAACAATGTCAGGCCTTTCTAATGGTCATTGACCTCACATACATCAACCAGAGATCGGTAGCAGTAGCTCTCATGTGGTGCATGGCAGGATGCTTTGGCACTTCAGGCGTTGCACTGGTACCTGTCTTAGCCGACCACGGAAACAACTGGCGGCGATTCTACCACTACTGGACCATCCCCGTCGTCATCTCACTCGTCGTCACGTTCTTCCTCTATCCGGAAACATACTTCAAGAGGCCGACTGTAGCTTTCAACGGGCTCATTCTGTTGCAGAGTGCCACCGAAAAGCTGACAGTCTACGAAGATCGCGAAAAAGATTCCGAGATCTATCGCGACCTTCCCGAATACCCGCTGCGCACTGGATTCGCGGGCTTCCGTGATCGGGTGGGCCTATCACGCTCACCCTTCGCATCATGGGCTTCGGCGGGTCGTTGCGTCATCCAGATGGGTTACTGTGCCGTCAACCCACTCATCTTCTGGGTCTTCATTGCCTCTGCCTTCAACTCGGCAAGCATGATCTTCATCGGCGCAACGTACGCACGCGTTCTTGTCGCACCGCCTTACAATATACCACCGGGTCTTGTTGGCACCGTCAACGTCGCATCCGGAGTCGGAGCCCTATGTGGCTTGCCCATTTTCGCCATCCTCTTCGGCAAGGTGCTGAAGCGGCTATCGAGCCGCAACAAAGGCGTCCTAGAAGCCGAGCACTACCTCGTCAGCTACATCCTACCCGTCATTACCGGCGCTCTGAGCTCTTCACTCTACGGCGTCGCAGTACAGTATCAATGGCGAGCGTCTGCTTTCTACTTCGCATACGGTATCAACGGCTTCTCCTTCATAACGATGATGATTGCGAACACACTTTGGGTTACCGAAGCTTTTCCACGCTGGGCTGCCCCCGCTATTGCTGTTGTTTTTGGAGGTTGTTACTTCCTCAGTTGGGCCATGAGCTTTGCGCTCGTGCCCTGGATAGAGTCACACGGATACGTGTGGGTTGGTATTGAACTCATGATTTTCCAGATTGTGGGTGGGTTGGTTGCTATGCCGGTGGCGTTTTGGGGAAAAAGTACGAGACAGGCCATCGCTGGTAGGTGGGCTGAAGATCGGAGTGGTGCGCTTCGGCCACTGTGAGGGATTGGGCTGTTAGAGCTGTAGTTGGGTGTCTGTCTTTGCTCAGGGCATGCTGTCTTGGGTATGGATGGGTGCGGATAATTTATAATCTCGAGCTGCCGCTCAGTGGTACTTTCATGCTCGTGGACCAGTGTATGGTTGTGTGTTCCCAGAAGAGAGTCACCGAAAAAGCCCAATTGAACCCGTTTGTGTCCTTTGCACCGACAATGCATCCTCTCTTGACAGTCCAACTGAGTAGGTCAGTCATATTCGGGGAGATGAGACAATGAGGGGACTGCCTACATTTAATACAGCTGAGATGTCTCTCTAGGTGATACAGC